ATGCGTTTCGGTTTGAAGGGTGAGGCAGCCGTTGTAACTATACTTGAGACCTTAGAACTTATATCTCAAGGTGGGTGGCGCATTTACATTGTGGATGCCTATGTGCTCTAGTAACCACTTAACACCAGGTGGGCTGTGAGCTCGTCCACCCATCTAAGCAATAAAAGAAAAACCAATGCCAATGCTCTGACACATAACCGGATATTAAAATATCGTTAATTTTTAAAACCGGCTTAACCGGCTGGAACCATCCACGGATATATGCATATATGCAATATAAAACACGTACGTAAAATTCTATCATCAACATTCTTCGTTTTTCATTGTTAATTTGCGTAATTACTGACGGATCTTGAGCCAGCACGGGTACACACAAACGTCCCACATTCTAAGTAAGTTATATTATTACAAGGTACATAGTTACATTGTATTCACCAAAAAGGAAATTCTCATGTACCTAAACGCGTTTTTGTCGCTAAAAGCTTGCAGTTCGACATCGCCATCAACGATACTATGTAAATGATTTACGCTCACTATAAAATCCACTCTAACATTTAAATTTTCCACTCAACTTGTAAATGAAGGGGAATGTTAATTAATTATTCTACAAAGTGCATTGAAACTGCGCGGTTAATTCTGTTTTGCATTTTCTAGAGTATTAAACTACGCTATGTCCTTTTTTTTATTGCTTAGTTGGGTGGACGATCTCACAGCCCACCTGGTGTTAAGTGGTTACTGGAACCCATAGACATCCACAACGTAAATGCGCCACCCACCTTGAGATACAAGTTCTAAGGTCTCAAGTATAGTAACGACGGCTGCCCCACCCTTCAAACCGAAACGCATTACTGCTTCACGGCAGAAATAGGCAGGGTGGTGGTACCCACCCGCGCGGACTCACAAGAGGTCCTACCACCAGTAATTACGCAAATTATAATTTTGCGGGTTNACCCATAGACATCCACAACGTAAATGCGCCACCCACCTTGAGATACAAGTTCTAAGGTCTCAAGTATAGTAACGACGGCTGCCCCACCCTTCAAACCGAAACGCATTACTGCTTCACGGCAGAAATAGGCAGGGTGGTGGTACCCACCCGCGCGGACTCACAAGAGGTCCTACCACCAGTAATTACGCAAATTATAATTTTCCGGGTTTCATTTTTATTACACGATGTTATTCCTTTACCGTAGAAGTCAATCGTGAATATTTGTTGAGTACGTATTTCATTTGAAAAATTGGTACCCGCCTGCGGGATTCGAATACCGGTGCATCGCTTCAACACCAATGCACCGGACGTCTTATCCGTTAGGCCACGACGACTACAATTTGTGTTTAATGATTTAATTTTATACTGATTTAGCTTTCCTTATAACATGTAAATTTGATAGCCCATGTTGGCAGACAAATATACGGCCCACCTGATGAGAAATGGTTACTGTCGCTCATTGATGCTGACAATTTGAAAGACACGACACACTGTGGATGAACACACTGGTTTTAGAGATTACGGATGAACCCTGCTCTGATGGTGGGTGGTGCGATAGTAAAAACGAGATGTGAGAACCTCTAACAATTACTCAGAGCTCTCTCCATGGAAAACATGCTGTCAAAAATGTTTATCACCACATAATATAAAAACAAAGTCGCTTTCTCTGTCCCTATATCTGTCTGTCCCTATGTATGCTTAAGTCTTTAAAACCACGCAACGGATTTTGATGCGTTTTTTTTTAATAGATAGAGTGATTAAAGATGAAGGTTTGTGTGTATAATGACATCCATTAAATAGTGGAGAAATCTATAATAAATTACATTTTCCGAAGCGAAGCGAGGGCGGGTCACTAGTATTTAATATTTCCAAGATTTCATTTAAAGGTAGTCAGTCGTATTTCCGAGCGTTCTAAACAGACCTTCCACATGTCCACGGTTCGAACGAAATAAATATGCTTCTCACTCTTTTGTCCGTAGATCTTGTAGGTTATATGATACTAAGTTCTCTAATGCTGACATATTTTGTTTGTCACTTGTAGCATATAAAAATGCTATTTTGGAATATTTATAAGGTGATTTAGTCCGATGTAATAGGTATAATAATAATAATAATAATTAGCCCTTTAAACTGGGTGAGATTTATCTTTGTGATTGGATCTTTTGGTTTGTTTGTTTATAAGATGTCTCTCAACTCAGTGTGCCTTCTGGCAAAGGCCTCCTCCAGTAGTCTCCATTGTTTTCTATCTTGAGCAACTCTTCTCCATTTGGGTCCGGCGGTAAGTTTCAGCTCATTTTCCCATCGNTAAAAAAAAAAATTTAGGGGTGGACTACCCCTAACATTTAGGGGGATGAAAAATAGATGTTGGCCGATTCTCATAGATACCGGATAAGCACAAAAAATTTCATCAAAATCGGTCAAGCCGTTTCGGAGGAGTATGGCAACGAAAACTGTGACACGAGAATTTTATATATTAGATAGATACAGAGTGAACCAGACAGTCGGTAGAACCGTTGATTACCGACACGTCATTACGTTAATGATGACAGTCTATGAACAGTAATGTTTGATTACGGTATTTTGCATTGCACACAATCCAGGGTTAGCGTGCAGGTGGCGCTCTCCCAAGGGAACGGGACGAGCTTGTCAGTTGACATCGCGATACACATTAAATACATTTGCCATGCCCGGTTAGCCCTCATTCGCACGGGCGTTTTAAAAGCGTTGCGTTAAAACTCGGCGTTGGCGCTTTTATAACGTTCTCGATGTGACGTAATCTGTAACGCCCAACGGCTAGCACTCAAAATGCAACACTGCGCGTTAAAAAAGCGTCGCGTTTTAAAAGCGCTGACGTATGAACATATCTTATAATATATATTATAATACGTGAAGCAAAAACTTTGTATCCCACTTTACGAAAATTGCGCGGACGGAGCAGTATGAAATTTCCCACACTTATAGAGAATATAGGGAGGGAGTGCAGAATGTTAATATTTTTTTTTATATATGCATAAAAATACATTTAATCAATAAAAAAACATAACACACACTACCGTGTATTTGACAAACACACTTATACATATTCTTTGTTTATTGTCCAATTTTTGTTATTGTTTGAAGTCGGTGGTCAAATTGAGACTTAATATGGTTTATTTATTTAATATTATTTGTCTAAAGTCTTAGTGAAATCTGTGATTATAGAAGTGTAATAGTCTTTGACAATAGAACCTTAATAATCTTCAAACTTATAATTTCCAATTAATTATAATCGAATTTCGACTACTGCGGCACTACTAGTACTAGAAAATGCGTCTGTTCTATTTGAACACTTTTTAACGCGCGCTAAAAAAACTCCCGTGCGATTGAGGCCTTAAGGTCCGATACATGATATAATCTATACTTATACTTATAATATTATAAAGAGGAAAGATTTGTTTGTTTGTTTGTTTCGAATAGGCTCCGAAACTACTGGACCGATTTGAAAAATTCTTTTTCCATTAGAAGCCGACATTGTCCCTGATGAACATAGGCTACTTTTTTTTATTTTTTTTTTATTTTTTTTTGGTTTCATGTGTGTTTTAATGTTTCCGAAGCGAAGCGAGGGCGGGTCGCTAGTCCTAATATAAATACGACATTGTATTCGCTGGTTCGTGATTTTACGTATCAACGCATCCATGAATCGTCAGATAGTTTATGAATCAGAGAGTGACAGAATCAACGGTACTCTTTATCTCGGGTAAATGCAAGAAGTTTTATTCATTTTGAATTAGAAATTTAACATAGATATAACCGCAACATCCGTCTAGTGAACAATTTATGTCATATCGTTTCACTGAATAATGAGGAGCCATCATGAAACCTGGAATTAAAAGCCACAATCACTAACGTAGTCACCAGTTATATTTTGCTTCAAGGAAAAATATGTAACGCGCTTTTGCCCACCAGGCTAACAAACTTATTTATCCGCTTCATTTCGTGCCAATAATAGTCTACTTAAACGGCAAACTTAATTATGGAGAAGGTCAAAATGTCTCTTCTTTTTAAATCGTAGCAAAAAAAGACGGGTTAGAAATAAAATCGTTAAATCCATAGATGTACAACAAGAAAAACAGCGGGGTATTTTGACATTAAAACTGATAATATAGAGTAAAGATGATTACATATGATTCCTGCGAGGGCCTCTCTCATGCTTCGGCCTCTGTAGGATGGGGCCTTACCCGCTGATGGCTGGGGGCGTCAGAAGTCGTGGTCGGGCCGCAAATATCAATCGATATCTTCGTTGATATCAAAGAAGAGCGACCGGTTGGCTGTGTATCGCGGTTTCCACTCCAGCAGGCTGGTTTTGATCCAGCTGGGCGTTCCGTAACACTATCGTTAGTATTTGAGACGGCCTCACGGGCAGTCGTACCGCAACTGCCGACATAATATCCTCTACCATCGCCTCAGCGACTCCGCCGGCCAAGAGTCCTCAAGGTGAACGGCGCAATACGAAACCGGTCGATGGTAGGTCGCGTTTCCCCGACCGCTCTGGGGTAAGGTGTAGCGCGGCGCCATCAATGCAGGCTCCTGGCCCGTCGACCGAGGGAACCAGCGGTCGTGTCGCTGGCGGCCGCCGGTCTGGCGACTGGGGACGGCGGGATGGATGTAATATGCTCTGCCGTCTCAATAACTCCGACTGGGTTCCCGCCCGGTCCGGAGTAGGGCGCCGGCTGTGAGCAGCAGTTTTTAGTGAGGTTCACCTCTCACATACCCATTTTCTCCTGTAGAAAAAAAAAAGTGAACGGCGAGTTCCTGGTTCGTTGCCAGGACATGATTCTGGGCAAGTCTGTAAGGGACTCGTTTAGTGGATTACCTCTAACATTTAGCAGTCCCACTGGGACCTCGTAGGGGGTTCGGCCCCCTGCCCACCAAAAAGAGAAACAAATAAGCAATACAATATTTGCGAAAAAAAACTATGCGAATAAGAACTAAAATTTCTAGTGAATGATATGAATATTTGATTTTGTTTCAGAAACAGCAAAATGATCGACCCGAGCTCATCTGAAGAAGACAGTGAGGATGAACACAAGAAACAGCCAGTTAAATTACCAGGTACGACGCTGCGACCATAGCTTTTGACGTGACAACGTCTTATAATTCGATGGAGCCGGCTGCACGCACGAAAAAACATGACTCGTGCGGCGATACCTCGCTCTGAGGCGTTCCATTTAAGGCTTGAAGTGCAAGCGAGAGCACGCAACGAGCGACAATATATATCAAACAAATAAAATTAAAATTTTCTTTTGAAAGAAATCTTATGAAAAATGAAACCATTCCATCAGTATTTTTTTATGACGTTGTCACGTTCAACTATCGTCAGTAAACCGACTTTACAGACAACCTTTTTTTTTATTGGACAGATAGATGGGTGGACGAGGTCACAGCCCACCTGGTCTTAAGTGGTTACCGGAGCCCATAGTCATCTACAACGTAAATGCCGTCACCCACCTTGAGATGTGAGTTCTAAGGTCTCAGTATAGTTAGAACGGCTGCTCCATCCTTCAAACCGAAACCGCTTCACAGCAGAAATAGGCAGGATCGTGGTACCTACCCGTACGAACTCACAAGAGGTCCACCTCCACAAGAGGTACTAATCAGAATCAGAAGTTGCTTCAGAATCCTATTTCTTAGAGCATAGGTAATATGCTTTAATTGACGTGTTAATGACAGACTTCAATGTTCATTAAATTAAAAATTACGAAGAAAACACAGTAGATAGCCGAGAGTTAGTTAAATTCGGAAAATAACTAAAATCCGTAGTTCTATTGTTTGCAATTACCATAAATTTAAAAAATCAATTTCAGATTCATTTCAAAATATCGCACCTTTAAAAATACACGATCCACTTAAACATTTAACGTATTCGCTCGCGTCGTCTGAAAATCCACTGGTGACATTCTCATTTAACAAATCCAAAAATAGACAATATAACTTATGAATGAGATGGATTCGATCAATATGATTCTCGTGAAATGTTTGTTAGTTCGTGTTCGAGGATTACACTTCAATTGATTTGATTGTATTATTCTTATGATCTTGTAGGTACTGATTGGATGGACGGATATTACCTACCAATGTATATTGTATGAGAGATGATTATATTATTACCTATCTATATACATATATAAAAATGAATTGCTGTTCGTTAGTCTCGCTAAAACTCGAGAACGGCTGAACCGCTTTTTACTACATGCATATGAATATATATACGGTATATTCACCAAAATAACATTTTTTACAATTTTGGTCTGTTTGTCTGTCTGTCTGTTTGTTCCGGCTAATCTCTGGGACGGCTGGACCGATTTTGACGGGACTTTCACTGATAGGTAGCTGATGATATAAGCTATTTTTTTTAGACTAGCTTCGCTCCGCGGCTTCACCCGCGGTACGACAATAACGGCGGGTAACATCGCGGGACTCAACTATCAATAATAAAATTTAATGTTTCCGAAGCGAAACGAGGGCGGGTTGCTAGTATTTAATAAAATCAAAGTTGAGTCCGTGTGCACGTGGCTCAATGAAGTTATACAATTTCAAGGTCGTGTTCTTTGTAACAGTTGTGCCTCCTGGTGCATTGGCCGGGGGTCGTCCATCCGTCCGCGGGAAACCAGAGCTTCCACGGGGGTCAACGGCTGGACTTGCAGGTAAAATAATAAAGGAAGGAGCGACGCAGAACTGAAATTCACCACCATTACCCATACTGAATATCCTGGGGTGCCTTTAAAACAAAATAAAAAAAACAATAAACTCTCACAATTCCATTAATGGTTACAAAAAAAAAAAAAAACAAACAATATGTTTTTTGCTTATACATATTTTAAAGTCGTATGTAGAATTAAGATCGTGGCGCATACAATAAAATTATTCCACTGTTGCATTTTTATGGTTCTTTTCAAAAATCTTCTTTATTCAAATAATAAAAAATTAATTGACACCTTTTTTTACGCCTTGCTCGTTCAATCATCTTCGCCATCTTGCTTTTCTCTGTAATTCTCTTTTCCCTTTCTTACCGTTTTCTCTCACTCACATCTTAACCCTCCGTTTCGCGCTCTTTTCATACCTCCCATTCTTACCAATCTATACTTCACTACATAGTATAAAACAAAGTCGCTTTCTCTATCCCTATATCCCTATGTTTGCTTAAATCTTTAAAACTACGCAACGGATTTTGATGCGGTTTTTTTTAATAGATAGAGCGATTGAAGAGGAAGGTTTATATGTATAATAACATCCATTAAATAGTGGAGAAAGACTGTTATCAATAATAAATTACAGTTCCCTAAGCGAAGCGAGGGCGGGTCGCTAGTAATATTATAAAGCTGAAGAGTTTGTTTGTTTGAACGCGCTAATCTCAGGAACTACTGGTCCGATTTGAAAAATTCTTTCAGTGTTAGATAGCTCATTTATTGAGGAAGGCTATAGGCTATATAAAATCACGGTAAGGCCAATACAAGTGGAGCACCAATAAAGAATGTTTCAAAATAGGTGTTTAAATAGCTTCTTAACATTATATAATTCAAAAATATTTGCACTTTCTACGTAAATGAAGTGGGGGTAAAATTTTGCGTTATGCCAAAGTAACTATTCCACGCGGACGGAGTCGCGGGCAAAAGCTAGTTCTACATAAATTTGTATAAAATCAACGTGACGAATAATTTGCATTAGTAAATGGTTTTCAAAGTTTAATTTATTTTATCAAAGGTCCTAGTACATTGACGGCATCACAACTGGCGGCACCTCTTCATCCTGCTACCAGACAGAGGGAGACAGCAGCTCTGGCCCCACCACCACACGCGTAAGTGTCTATTGACGTAAGGGAACCAATTTCGAAACTTATTTGATTAACTAGACGGATCATTTTTGAATCACCGCTGTTAATACTACAAAACAAACCGTTACTCTTCCACTGAACTGTCCTATGTGTTAGATAAAGAACGTAATTATATGGCAACACTGCCAGACTGCATCCGCCATTAAAGCAATTCACATGGAGCTCATGTCGTTTTATTATAAAGTATAGTTACACTCTACAACCCGGCCATCCTATGACTTCATACTTTGCTCGTTGAGGCAATTTGGGAATAACACGGTGGATAAACTCAATGTAACCTTGAATTTCTAATCTAATCATTCTTAAGATTACTGAAGCCTATTTCAGAACACTTGTGTTAGACTTGTGTAGGCAGCGGCTTGGCTCTGCCTCTGGCATTGCTGAAGTCCATGGGCGACGGTAACCACTCACCATCAGGTGGGCCGTACGCTCGTCTGCCTACAAGGGCAATAAAAAAAAAAAACTATTTTTTGTACTAAGTAACTAAGCGTTAAGCTTTCCTTTAGGTTAAAAAAGATACACTAATTTGGTTCACTAATAATATTTACCGGGCTAACTAACCGATAATAGTCCCGGGATTTCAACCCTCGCTGATTCGGAATTCTGTTATGACTGAAATATAAGAATAGTATTTAATCACATACTAATATGCCAATGATAATAATGATGATGAATAGTTAATGATGATGACGAATAAGCCAAGACAAAATAGATCTCATCTAGGTATTCTATCCTTTCTTTATCAACCGATTTCCTTTTATCTTTGTCAATGGAAAACATTTATTTTTTGTTTACGTTTACAACGAAAGAAGATGAATTAGGAATCAAACGAAATAAACCGTTAAATCAATGTAAGCCCTGAGACATCAGCGATTACGGTCGCATTTCGATCAGTGAGCGAACATCTATGAGAGGGCTATGCTTGGTATTTCTCTACGAGATCGAATCAGAAATGAGGCGATCCGTAGAAGAACCAAAATTGCTGACATAGCTCGTAGGATTAGCAAGCTGAAGTGGCAGTGGGCAGGCCACATAGCGCAAAGATCGGACGGCCGATGGGGCAGAAAGATCCTCAAGTGGAGACCACGTACTGGCAAACGCAGTGTGGGACGGCCACGTACCAGATGGACCGACGACCTAGTGACAATTGCTGGGTCATGTTGGATGCAGGTGGCAACGGACCGGTCACACTGGACATCAGTTAGAGAGGCCTATGTTCAGCAGTGGACAACAGATAGGCTGAGATGATGATGATGATGATGAGCGAACATGAATTACAACTATGGCGATTTTAAACGATCCGGATTTATTATAGTCGCGTTTTCGGCATTGGTTCCAATTCGCCAGATAAGGTTTTTTTTTTAAATACACTAATGTTTGTAGTGTAACTTGTATTATAATATTTCATATCCATTAACACTCATGAACATCGTAAGAGCTGAATTCAAATCGAATTTGTAGAGAAAACCTCAAAAACGACTTCAGACGATAAAACTTTAGTGCAATACTTAAAATTAATAGTCAGTTGAAAATAGTTGACCTTAGCATATGTTTAACAAAGGTAGCTACTGTAGTTTTTGATTTATGAAATAAAATCCAAACAACTAATTTGTAATTAGTGGCTTTTAATTAGTACCAAGCACGACCATAGTTTTACGTACACTGACTAATATTCATATGCCTAATTAAAAAAAAAGATATTTGCAAGACATTGAATGTCTGATTTGAATTTAAATAAAAAGTTAGTTTACGTAAAACCCTTGCACCAACATTAATGACTTAATTCTATAGATCGTGTTAGATCTTTCTTACGCAGGACCTCTACGGGCAGTGCTAGCTCGGGGGAGGCGCCTGCGCCCTCACCCAGCCCCTCTGGAGCCAGCCATTCTGACAAGGACCAAGATCCACAGGTAAACAATATCGCTGTACCCAAGTACTGTATTGAAGTCGTCGTGGCCTAAACGATAAGACGTCCGATCTACACGTCACTACGGATCCTCCCGATCCATTAACGGTGCTTTGAGGTACCACAAGCACCGGTCACGACGAAGGGCTCGACGAGTGAATTAACCCATAGACACAACCCGCTGAGTTTCTCGCCGGATCTTCTCAGTGGGTCGCGTTTCCGATCTTGTGGTAAATTCTGCGAAGCAATGCTCTTGTTAGAGCCAGTGTTAGCTACACTTCCGGTTTGAGCCTCAAGAGCTCACCTACATGTTAGGGCGAAGCTGAAATAGCCTCTCAAGGCTATCATAGGTAGGAAAAAAAAAGACGCCCGGTGCATTCGTATGTAGCGATGTAACGGTGTTCGAATCCCACGGGCGGGTACCAATTTTTGTAATGAAATAGGTACTTACTTAACAAATGTTCACGATTGATTTCCATAGTGAAGAAATAACATCGTGTAATAATAATGAAACTTACAAAAAAATATAATTTGCGTAATTACTTGTGGTAGAACGTCTTGTGAGTCCGCGCGGGTAGGTAGTAACACCACCCTGCCTATTTCTGCCGTGAAGCAGTAATGCGTTTCGGTTTGAAGAGTGGGGCAGCCGTTGTAACTATACTGAGATCTTAGAACTCATATCTGAAGGTGGGTGGCGGCATTTACTTTGTAGATGTAGATGTCTATAGGCTCCGGTAACCACTTAACACCAGGTGGGCTGTGAGGTCGTCCAACCATTTAAGCAATAAAACAAAGATAACATTATTAGGGAGAAAAGTATCTTTATATTCGTAATTCTCAGAGGCTTCAAGACTTTCCATGAACATAAAGATTTGCACACGGCTCGCATCAAGGATCGATGGTAATAAAATCGGTCTAATATCTTGAAGTTTATTGTTAGTTTCGTTAACTATTTAAACATGTTTTTTTTAGTTTTACATAAAATGCATACAACTCATATATATAATTCAACATTTGTGACATTTCTTTATAGAAACTAGAGGATGACGGATGAGGATAAGGAAACGAGAGGATTTTTTTTTTGTTGATAAAATGTATTTTTTAGAAATTATATTTAAATACGAATTACATATTGACATTATATTATATTATTTGTTATATTTTCTTTCAATACAAAAAAAAGTTTATGTTTAAGTTGATTATCGATAAAGTTGATTATTGAAAACACGAATAAAACAATATTTTCTGAAAATAAACCGTAGCTAGATCGATTTATCGCCCCCGAACTCCCCTGTATACTAAATTTTATGAAAATCGTTGGAGCCGTTTCCGAGGTTCAGATTATATATATACAAGAATTGCTCGTCTAAAGATATAAGATAAGATATAGCATCATCTGTCGATATACATTCTGCGCCAGTCCAAAGATTCTTGATCATGGTTTCCGAACGTAGACTTCGGTTTTATTATAATATGAATCGCAAATAATAAAAGCTCAAAGCACCCCAACGTCATACACGAATTATGTAAGTCGTTGAATGTTGCCGACGCAAAGTTCAAGGAGAAGCTTTTAAGTGTTTTGCGGTTTTCGTTTGAAGAACATTGTTATTATATGTCGTTCGATACTGTTCCAAAGTATTTTATTATCGTATTATTGGTAAAAGTATCTTAATGTTATATTTCAACTAAATAAAACTTTTAGAATATAATAGAACCAGCGACCCGCCCTCGCTTCGCTTCGGAAACTGTAATTTATTATTAATTTCTCCACGATTTAATGGATGTTATTATACATTTACTGGTGGTAGGACCTCTTGTGAGTCCGCACGGGTAGGTACCACCGCCCTGCCTATTTCTGCCGTGAAGCAGTAATGCGTTTCGGTTTGAAGGGTGGGGTAGCCGTTGTAACTATACTGAGACCTTAGAACTTATATCTCAAGATGGGTGGCGCATTTACGTTGTAGATGTCTATGGGCTCCAGTAACCACTTAACACCAGGTGGGCTGTGAGCTCGTCCACCCATCAAAGCAATAAAAAAAAAAGATCACTCTATCTACTAAAAAAAAACACATCAAAATCCGTTGCGTAGTTTTGACGATTTAAGCGTACATAGGGATATAGGGACAGAGAAAGCGACTTTGTTATATACTATGTAGTGATGGTATATTTGGCGTTTCAGAAAAGCCACAATTATTAACACCATCGTCAGACATCGTAGGGGCGAATAGGGTGATCGAGCTAGGAGAAATATTGAGTACACCAATCACGTTTGTTGTCTTAGAACAATTTAGAAACCTTTTCTTGACGTTATCAAACGAAAACGAATGACAGTTCTTAGGACGGAGGCACCGCTCTTCAAGAAGGCTGCTTGCTAAGTGTGATGGCGTCTACGCGCCTTCATCGGCTAGCCTCTGTCGTAGCATGAAGTTAGCAGAGTTCCGACGATACCGCAATGGTGCTGAGACTCTCGGGAATCGTGCTGCGTTTCGTTTAGCTACCAAACTAATGACCGTCTCCGACATATAAATAAAACATACAAGCAAAGAGCAAACAAATCTGTTCGTCACACGAACGTTTGGCGACTACCCACGAATCTCAGACCAACAGTCGGTGTTGGATTTACGCCTAGGCCCGTGAGAACCGGACGGGAAATTTATTTTATATGCAAAAATTTCAGAGACTACCTTTCACAGTAAAAACAATCCTCCTTTGAAAATGACTTCAGATTTAGTTTTATATTTAAAAAAAAAATTTAAATTATTTTAAATTTAAAATAAAAATATTGGATCAAAATTAACAAAATTTATACTAACATTAAAGGCGGCGCGATAAACAGGCTCTAGTTCTGCACTAGGCCCTGTTTATCGCCTAAATCCATCCCTGCCAACAGTCAAGGAAATAAAGTGCTGTACCACCCAGTCTTTGTACACAGCAATAACAGCTCTTTTAAATCATTCATTTTTTTTTATTGCTTCAGTTGGGTGGACGACCTCACAGCCGTTTTAAACAAATTAAAATACTCTACCATTTGTAAAAATGACCAAAAATAACTTTCGTTTTTTTTTTTACCTCGAAAAGGCTTTAAGACAATATATCTGTTACAGGAAAAGATAGAAAAGTTAGAAGAGGACAAGAAAAGGCGTCTCCAACTCTATGTGTTCGTCTCGAGGTGTATAGCTCATCCCTTTAACGCGAAGCAGCCCACAGATATGACGAGGAGACATACGAAGCTGACTCCCCATCAACTTGAAACCATACAGGCTCGATTTCAGGTGAATAAAACAAAAAAGCAACTACTGTTCGGAACCGCAGTAAAAAGTTTAGTTGCAAACAATTGTCATTTATATTTTTATAATTTTAATTTTGTTTCAAAAGTTGTCATTAAAAAACTGTCAGCCACGAAATCTGCATCATAATTTTTCTTATTGTAAAGTCTTCCTCCTCACAAATCCAAAGTATATTTACCAAGAAACCGTCCTACAACAACCTACGTATTAAAACAGAACAGAAACAAAACTGGTTTCATTTTCATTGAATAAAAAACAGAGTTAAATAATTAATTAAATAAATTATAATCCTTACTTATCTTTGTCTGTTTGTTTGTCCTTCTTTAACGTTGAAACGTAGCAAAGGATTAAGTTTTTTTAAAAGCGATAACTTTATTAGGTCAGAAGAGTCACGTCATGTTATATTATATCATGTCACCTTTTATCCCGAAAAAACAGCTCATTCTCACCGAAAACTACACTGAGCACACAGGCGAAGCCGCGAGTAACAGCTTATATACTATATAATAAAGAATCTGGAGAAATTCCATGATAACATAAATATTATTCCCTCCCAAATGCTGTAGCTGCACATTCTCATTTCATTTCTAACTACCCTCTTTCCAACTTTTACATATTTCGATTAATCAATCTGTATAGTAGATCTGAGGAAGGTTTACAAGCAGATTCGCGGTAGACTTGTAAGCCAAACAAGATTAAATCGTCTCGACATTCTTCAAAAAGAAGAAGACTGGTGGTACGACCTCTTGTAAGTCCGCGCGGGTAGGTACCACCACCCTGCCTATTTCTGCCGTGAAGCAGTAACGTGTTTGAAAGGTGGGGCAGCCGTTATGACTATACTTGAGACCTTAGAACTTATATCTCAAGGTGGATGGCGCTTTTACGTTGTAGATGTCTATGCGCTCCAGTAACAATTTAACACCAGGTGGGCTGTGAGCTCGTCCACCCATCTAAGCAATAAAAATAAAAGACAAGAAGAAGACTTTTTGCTTTTTTCCTGGTTTTTTTCCCTTAAAACTAGTTCTGTAGGCAGCGGGTTGGCTGTGCCTCTGGCATTGCTGCTGATATCCATGAGCAACGGTATCCATCTACCATCAGATGGGCCGTACTTGACTACCTATAAGAAGAAATAAATAAATAAATTGTGATGTCGTGGGACATCGGATAGGAACGAAGTTCCATATAATAAAAATATTAATTTTAAGTCCTATTCGAAGTATGAAGAAAATAAAACTAGAGGTTTCGCAACAACCCACGGTCATTCGGTAACGTGCGAACTTATTGTGGTACACTTCATTCACGGTTGTTTGCATAAGAGTTAGTGTATTGCGCAAACGAACGCTCTGAGATCGTGGTCAATGAATGATAAAAAATTATGTTATTTTTTGTACGTTATTACAAAGTTAAGTCGTACACTGTGTGCATTACTAATAAAAATCTTACGTTACGGACGTTTTTTCCCGGTTAGGGTCCTTATGGGACGACGCGGAGGGGTCTCCGCGTCGTCCCATAAGGAACTTTTTTCCAAAAACAGCTGAATTTAATAGTGCCTAATAGTTTTACGTCCGCTGATAATCTTATTTTTAAACACAATCCTCTGTATTGGATCCAGGCATTCCTCAAAGGCGAAACTCAGATATTGGCGGATGAAGCCTTCCAGAACGCCGTACAGTCTTACCACGACATATTCTTGAAGTCAGAGAGAGTGGAGCAGATGGTGAAGTCCGGAGCTTGCTCGCATCACGACTTCCGAGAGGTCTTCAGGAATAATATCGAAAAAAGAGTCAGGTTCGGCATTCCTTCTATTCTTCTTCAATTCTTCTTCAATTCTACTTCAAACACTCCGCCGCTTAGGTTTACGTATATACCGTCTCGTTTGCTTTTCGGAAAATATCAAATTTGTTTTGGAGTGAACAGAAAATTCCTGATACGGAAACCTATTCGGAAAATTTAATATCCGGTCCCATTTAGCACGAAAATCTGTATCCTACTATGTCCTTATATAAGTTCTTATTTGAAATTGCATACAGCAAGAATCCTTTTAGCAGCACCTTTACTATTACATAAGGAAAACGGTAAGGAAGGTAACATGTTTTAATACATCTATACTAATATATAAGTCTACAGTGGTTTTTACGGATGTTCCGTTATAACTACTGAACCATGCATCCGATTGACTTGAAACTTGGTATCCATGTAGAAAATACATGTACTTAATGAATAGGCTAATATTTATATGAGTGTTGGACTCCCTACACCAGCTGCGGGGGCGTTAATGATGAGAATCTTTGTGGGGGTGAGAAATAATAATGTTAATTTTAAATGCCCAGCGAAGCGGACGGGTACAGCTAGTTTGTGTATGTATAAGTAAGAAAAATCACTTATCTACTTATATTGTGTTGAAATGGTTAGTTTTTTGTTTCTGAAATATAACCCGTATAGCGATGCGCGATGGAAAGTGCTTATAAATATTATAAAATGGAAGCTGCCGCCAATTTAGAAACGTAAAGTCGAAGGGTAAATTAATATTGGATTTTTTTATTTATTGCTTAGACGGGTGGACGAGCTCACAGTTCCACCTGGTGTTAAGGGGTTACTGGAGCCCATTGACATCTACAGCGTAAATGCGCCATCCACCTTGAGATATATGTTCTAAGGTCTCAATATAGTTACAACGGCTGCCCTACCCTTCAAACCGAAATGCATTACTGCTACACGGCAGAAAAAGGGAGGGTAGTGGTACCAACCCGTGCGAACTCACAAGAGGTCGTATCACCAGTAAAAACTGTTTTTATGTTATAGTCGATGCCGTATCGTTGGCTGGGGCATCAAAATGTCATTGTATGTGTCCTTTTTTTATTGGCCCTGTAGGCAGACGAGCCCAGGTGATGTTGGGTAGTTACCGTCATAGCCAAGCCATTTCCTAATGTCCGCAAACCTCAAATATCTATATCTATTTTTATTTTTTTTATTGCCCTTGTAGGCAGACGAGCATACGGCCCACCTGATGGTGAATGGTTACAGTCGCCCATGGACTTCAGCAATGCCAGGGCCAAGCCGCTGCCTGCCGCTAAATACTCTCAGCAAGCCTCGTTTGAAGAAGGACATGTCATAGCGCTCGGGAAACACCTAATATGAAATATATGAAATAATCGGCAGGTCTTTGCCGGAAATCGACGGACTCAGTAAAGAAACAGTGCTATCGTCGTGGCTGGCAAAGTTTGATTGCATTATGAAAGGAACCGGTAAGTTTTGTACAACGAAAAAATAAAAATTCATCTTTTACTCCGATCTCGAAGAAAAAAAAACAATTAAGAGGCACGTCAAAATACTCAATACTATTTACAATTTCCGATATCTCGGGTGTTTTAATAGTAAATAAAAAAAATCGTGGGATGTGTTAATTGAAATCGTTGAGGATTTGAAAACGTCGGAGGTTTTAAAGCCAGTCAAATGTTAGCGAAGTTAGGTTAGCGTGCGCCTGAGGAGGCCTGCGTCGCAGCCACTGTTATTAGCAACGGCATCTCGGTCAGTATCGATTACTGAAACGTCATTCTATGTCAGATCGGAATCCTATTCCACGGTTTGACGTATAATTGGCAAGATTATTGATTTGACCACTATGATTGTGGGTAGCATTAACCTTTATACAGTACTTGTCAAATTTCAAAGCATTTTGACGTTCTACTGATCTCAGTGTTGGAATTTTCAAGGCAATGCATCGGAAGGAATTTCGTGTATTGATTAATGTTGGGTAAATTGTTTAATGATGGGTGAAATAAAATTGTAGTCACACAGTGGCTTGATAAGAGCATGACGGGGATCAAACACCATGGAAATGAACTATTATTGACCGGTTTCTTTTACATACAACATAAATAATTATGTTATTTTGAAATCTCGTTCGAAGAAGAAGTCTATTTTTAATCGATGATGTCATTAATATACTTGGAAATTCAAATCGCTTCTCAATTCGTTTTCGAAGACGCAATCCCTCGTACTTTAGTTCAAAGGAAATTAATTTCGTTTCCTATAAATAAAATAGTTACACCAAACGAATATAGACAGAAAAAAAACTATGAATTCGATTTAAATGAGCGATTCAAAGAGAAAGCCGGTGGGTGTTTTACGTTAAAAGTAGGTCAAATGGAAAATGAATAGCAAAACTTATGTTTTCAATAGAAAATTCCTTTTGAAATAAATATTGTTACTTTTATATTTTTTAAACATTGATATATGAAGAACTACTTAAAATGAAATGGTTATTAAAGGTTTTTTTCACTTTTCGTTAACCTCCGAAGTTCATAGAGGTCTCGCCTTTTAAAAAAATTTGGTAAAACGAGTTAAGAGATGTGACATTTATAATATGTTTATAACATTCGAAGAAAACTCTATTACTCTGTAAATTCGATTTAGTAAACTTCGTTACATTGTTATAATTAATTAGAAGATTTACAGGATTAAAAGAATTACCGGATTACAAATTACAATTTTTGCTTAGTCGTAAAAATATTTAAAATTCTATGAAACTTTAAATCCGGATCGGGATATATGGTCTTCGTATCGTTTACATATTACTCTAGTAATAGTATTGAAGAAATAACAAGATCCAAGCTGAAGTATTCACCGCGAGTAAGGACTAGATATCGATTTCCGCTCGGAATTATTATATTATACTGGAATAACAGGATATAACAGAAACAAATCCTAACTCACCCAAATTTAGGACTTGAAATTGAAAATAACGACTTATTATTTGGATCGAATTTTATTTTTATTCAACATTAATTATGTACATTTATTATCTACACATGTATGTTAAATACATTACGAAGAACAAACATTTAAGATCCTTAATGTTCGTAATCTTCCGTCCGTTTTATTGTAAGTCGTAAATATTTGTGCAAATCAAAAGTGTCAGCATGTTGCAATGTTTATCTGCTACCTGTTTTTTTGTTTACATACTGAGCTTGAATCCTTTATGTGCCTTGGAATGTGTGTCAGAAAGCTTGTGTGTTCAATTGCAATGTAAAGTGTACTTTATCCGAAGTTAAATAGGTGTCGAAATTGGATACCTACATGTATTGCCTTTTCCGATTCGTAAAAGGATCTCATAGCATGCTGAGAACGATTGGTTTGGTGGCTCCGTTTGATTGCTCGGAAAATAAAAAAATATTTTTTTTTTAATAAAAAAAACCTCTGGAATTAATATCAAAACGTATCCACATTCAATAGTTATAAGTAAGAGTTAAGCCTTCGTCAAACAGAACGCGTACTTAGCGCCGCGTACTTAACGTCGCGCTCTTCAAGCCTTCGTCAAACAGAGCGCGTAATTAGCGCGCGTCAGAGCGCTAAACTGACGCCGCGCTATGACGCCGAGATGTGATGTACTACTATGGTAACATACCGTCAAACAGAGCCCCAGCGCTATAAGTACGCAGCGCTCTGTCGCGGCGTTAGGACGCTTTGACGTCAGGCGTTGTAATGTTTTACAAACTTTTATTTTAGCGTCCGAGTGAATGTGTATTAAAATACTAGATAATGCCCGAAAAAATGATATAAATTGTTAGAAAATACCCATGCTTATACAATGCCATATCTGAATCACTCGATTTCTTAATACTTTTAAATTTTCACACTGCTATCGAAAGGCACTATGATTTGGCGAATGCGTTGCGTCAAGGAGCGTTAGACTCATCTAGTCAATTAGAAGAGCGCGACGTTAAGTACGCGGCGCTAAGTACGCGTTCTGTTTGACGAAGGCTTTAGTAAAAGATATTAATAAAATTTTACTACGAAAACAGATTGGCAACAGAAATTAATTTTATTATAATAGTTGAGAATTACGGGTACTGATAATATTTCATCATTTATATATTTATTATATACGAAACGGTATCAATATAAATACACAGTTTTGTGAACAAAGTTTGATGAATATTCAAAAATAGACGAACCTTTTTTTTATTTTCTTAAACATAAAACATACAGTGTAGGTACATTCATTGAAATTCGAACAATAAGGTCTAAGCTTGTGTTCGAGTTTCTTTTTAACAAAGTCCTTTATTTATTATAATAATATAATCATATTTAATACTAATAATTAGAATAACATCGAAGATGTAAAATAAAATTCCAAAAAATTTAAACAGCATAGGACTCAATAGTTTGAAAAATTGTTTTGGGAATTTTCAAATCCATAGATGTTGTAATTTTTACCGAACTTCAATAGAGTCAGGGAGTTTCCCTAAAAGAGCGTTGTTGAAATTTATTTAAACAATATTAAAATGGTACGAAAATTGTCCATCCGGCCTCGCCCAACCCGTCGCTTGCGACGAAGGGCTCGACGAGTAAATTAACATATAGACACAGCCCACTGAGTTTCTTGCCGGATCTTCTCAGTGGGTCGCGTTTCCGATCCGGTGGTAGATTCTGCGAAGCAATGCTCTTGCTAGGGCCAGTGTTAACAACACTCCCGGTTTGAGCTCCGTGAGCTCACCTACACATCAAGGCGAAGCTGAAATAGCCTCTCAAGGCTATCAGCATAGGTAGGAAAAAAAAGATCTTTGATGCTTTTAATAAAAATGTATCATCCAATCCCAGAATTTGATAAAAAAAATCTGCTCTGGTGAAAATCTTTTCGACCCGTTCTCTATGCCTTCTCGTCTACGATTTATGAGTATAAACAATATAAGTCAGAGGCATGTAACATAATGAACTTAAGACTGGGAGTTATGCGACATTCCCGCTCAGATGGAAACTTCAACCCGCCTTTTACATTCCAATCCAGGGTCCAATCGACCTAGTTAGTGTCACTCCCGATCCATTAACGGTGCTTTTAGGTACCACAAGCACCGGTCATCGTCCTCGTCGAACCCGTTGCTTACGACGAAGGGCTCGACGAGTGAATTAAGCCATAGACACAACCCACTGAGTTTCTCGCCGGATCTTCTCAGTGGGTCGCGTTTCCGATCCGGTGGTAGATTCTGCGAAGCACTGCTCCTGTTAAAGCCAGTGTTAGCAACACCTCCGGTTTGAGCCACGAGAGTTCACCTACACGCTAGGGTAACGTTAATAAGCCTCTCAAAGTTATCAGCAGAGGTAGGAAAATAAAACAAAAGTATTAAAAAACTAGACAGTGTCGAGTTAATTTTTTTTGAAATTCATCAAACTTTGCATTTCGGTAAGTCAGGGCGTAGTTTATATATATTTTTAATCATGAGCGTCACGATTGCCTTTCGTGTCCTTTAATTATGTGCTGGCTGCATTTGTCTCATTGTGTGTGTTTTCTGCCCCTTCTGTCACTACATGTCTCTCACACGTAAACAGGAATAACAGGTATCGCTGGATGAAACAAATCGTTTTATGATTTTTTTCTTTATTTTGTTTGGTTTTTTTTTTAATGCAAAGCTTGCCCAAAGTAACCGAAGACGCATGTGCTTGAAGCTTCGCAATTTATATCTATATGCATAAAAAGAAAGGTTTTCTTAAAATGAAATGCCTTCTGTAAGTAGTTGATAATATCAAAAACAGGTGCTTCAATTACTCTCTTTCTCTCTCTCTGTTCGAATCCGAAATGTGATTTATATTTATTATCGTATCATCATCATCATTGTTTTTTAAGGTTTTTTTTTATTGCTTAGATGGGTGAACGAGCTCACAGTCCACCTGGTGTTAAGTGGTTACTGGAGCCCATAGACATCTATAACCGCCACCCACCTTGAGACATAAGTTCTAAGGTCTCAGTATAGTTACGACGGCTGCACCACCCTTCAAACCGAAACACATTACTGCTTCACGGGAGAAATAGGCAGGGTGGTGGTACCTACCCGCGCGGACTCACAAGGGGTCCTACCACCAGTAATAAATACACTAGCAGGTTTTTGAGTTATCCGAAACGAAATTAATAACCCCTCATTAAATACTAGGTCGCCGTTTACTGTATAACTAATCACTTCATTTCATTTTTCCTTGTTAAGCCATTTTCTTTGACAACGATATTCTTAATCGTATTCAAACTTATTTGTCTTATGTTTGTCTCTATATGGCTAAAAGCTGATGAAACTGTTCACTTATTAGAGGCCTGCTATGATTATTCGTTCAGTGTTGGTACTCCGTTTCGTTCTTCTATACTAATATATAAATGTACAGTGGTATTTACGGATGTTCCGTTATAACTACTGAACCATGCATCCGATTGACTGGCAACTTGGTATCCATGTAGACATTACATGTACTTAATGGATAGGCTAATATTTACATGAGTGTTGGACTCCCTAATAATAATGACGATAAATAATAATGTTAATTTTAAATGCCCAGCGAAGGGGGCGAGTGCGGCTTGTATCTCATATTATGTCGGTTTACGGTACTCATGAAGCTTAGATGGGTGGACGAGCTCACAGGCCATCTGGTGTTAAGTGGTTACTGAAACCCATAGACACCTACAACGTAAATGCGCTACCCACCTTGAGATATGAATTCTAAGGTCTCAGTATAGTTACAACGGCTGCCCCACCCTTCAAACCGAAACGCATTACTGCTTCACGGCAGAAATAGACAGGGTGGTGGTACCTCCCCATGCGGAATCACATCGCGCAATCATTTGCGTGTTATGATTCTCATATGAATGTGAAGCGAAAGTCAAAGCTAGCCAATCCGGCTAAGGCGGTTTAACATAGCTAAAATATCCAAGAAATTAGTTTTTCTTAAATTTAGGTACTGTTTCTTTTGTTTATTTTAAAATTACATAGTGATTATATTTATTGTTCCTAAAGCACTTGCGTGTTCGGTGTACCAAGCATCTGTAATATCGCTTCGTTGAAGAATGCTTTTTTTATATAATACACTCTTTTCATGATTGGCTACAGATTATTTTGATTTGATTTTTTATTTAATTACAGTATTTTCTAGAAATCAAAATTTAATAAAAACTCTCTTGAGATACGCCTCCGTTATTCTATGTTTATTTTCATGCGAATATTATAGATATTTTAAGGTAAGACGCACTGCAAGATTGTTCTCCTTTTTCCGCTTTTGTGCTCGGTTGAATTGCCTTGATATACAATATTCAGCTAATGCGTTATAGTTTCAAAGCCAATTGTATCTAAAGAATTGTCAGTGTTTCAATAAATAATATTAGCATCAGCAGGTCTATTAAATAATATTGGTATACCTATTAAGTAATACAACTGCTGATGTTTGGGAATGGGAGTTAAAGCGTTTACAGGACAATCAGAATTTTAGTATTATTTACAGTTTTTTCTAGATCACTAGTCTATCAGTTTTAAATTACGCGCTTTCGATCTGATTTCATGTGACAACTTGACGCGATCGTGCTGTTTCACTGTTGTTTTGAAGCGCCTTATTGCTTTGTGATCTGCACTAAACTTCTAACTTGATTGTGAAAATTTTATAATCTACTTAATTGAATAGCTTAAGAGGCAGTTAATTTTGATTTCGTTACAGAGTATAAGAAAATTGTTCCAAAAACCATTAGTTTTACTAACCATGACACGTCGGAAAATGATTAAAAAGATTCTTGTTACTTTTTTACTGACAAATGAGTAGGTAGGAGTGAGTAGGTGGTACTTACGTACCACACGGTTTACTGTCAAGTGATTTCTGGATTTCTGGAGTAAAAAGTCAAATATTGATCAATTTAGCTGTTTTAAAAATGTTTGGTAGCGATTTTCTTACACCTGGCAGAATTGTTTCTCGAAATTAATGGCATAAGGTCAGGTGTGCTTTATTACAACTTTTGTAATCGTACTTGATACTAATAAATTGTAAATATCACCACGAGAATATTTACAATAGCCTTAAATATTTACAAAAATAATCTTAATGTCGAGATGCCAAAACAAGCCATGTTATAATTCACATAAAAGCATTTTTCGCAAAAAGCACATACGGCCTTTTGCAATTAATTTATTCTGAGATATGTACATATAATTGAAACGCGATTGCATGCACAGTATTACGTAACGTAGGTCTATTTACATTGGACTTCTTTGGTAATAGTGAAATCAGCACTTAGTTTCATTTTGTAAGCCTAACGGTTCATGAGTGCTTTAAATTATCAACTTAGCGCCTTTAACTGCTCATATTAATGCGATGAAATTTTAGGTGTCTCCTTAAGTACCAACGCTTCACTTAAGGAAACTTGACCAGCTCGAGGAGAAATCTCTTTGAATTTGAATTTTTCGTAATAACTAACATACCCTCAGTTTTATGTTTTGTGGTGTTGCCTCAAATTAACGAAGGCTTTCAATATGTAAATTTCGTTAAGGGGAAGCATTAACTACACCCATTGATGAAACGGCGTGTGATTGTGTAATTGTGTCCAGGAATACCTGGGGACGACGACTCCAAGAGGCCATCCCGGGCCCAGCAGCAGAGCTTGAACGCGGAGTGCATCCTCAGTAAGGAGCAGCTTTACGATATGTTCCAACAGATTCTCGGCGTGAAGAAATTTGAACACCAACTGCTGTTTAATGCCTTATTGGTAAGAGTTAAGACTTAATTTAAGAAATGTTTCGTTCCTAGGTAAATCAGTATATACGGTATCTTGGATGGTATCTTGAGTCTGGACACACCAATCGCATCCAAATCAGGAAAGGATACGGAACATGCCCTGTAAGTTATCTGAGGTCCCCGATCGACGTATAAGATCCAACGTTTTTTTTTTATTGCTTAAATTGGTGGGCGAGCTCACAGTCCACCTGGTGTTAGGTGGTCACTGGAACCCATAGACATCCACAACGTAAATGTGCCACCCACCTTGAGATATAATTTCTAAGGTCTCAGTACAGTTACAACGTCTGCCCCACCCTTCAAACCGAACGCATTACTGCTTCACGGCAGAATATAATAATAAATTGTAATCACCATTTATATTAATGGATTTACTTTAATTTTCTGCACGCAGCTGGACTCAGCAGACGAACAAGCGGCTGCCATTAGAAGAGAATTAGACGGTAGAATGCAAAAAGTTAACGAAATGGAGAAGGTAAGAGAGTATGAAGAAATATAAACTTTATTCCTTCGGTTTAAAGTTTAGAATCGGTACAGAAATTTCGTGGCCACTGAAAATGTTTTATTTTTATTTTTTTATTGCTTAGATGGGTGGACGAGCTCACAGCACACATGGTGTTAAGTGGTTACTGGAGCCCATAGACATCTACAACGTAAATGCGCCATCCACCTTGAGATATAAGTTCGAAGGTCTCAAGTATAGTTACAACGGCTGCCCCACCCTTCAAACCGAAACGCATTACTGCTTCACGGCAGAAATAGGCAGGGTGGTGGTACCTACCCGCGCGGACTCACAAGAGGTCCTACCACCAGTAGAAATCTAGAATTAGACCTTATTGCTAGGGTTCGTGTTAGCAACGTCGTCAGGTTTGAGCCCCGTGAGCTCACCTACTAGTTAAGGCTACTCTGAAATGGTCTCTCAAGACCATAAGCATAGGTAGAAAAAAAATAACTTAATTTTTCGATGTGAATCCGATATTCCTGTTGTAATGTCATCAGACGGACATATTAACACCAAAAAGGCCCGAATACGCAGCAATGACGCGTACAAATTCTCTTATTACAGAATCGGAAGCTGATGCCGAAGTTTGTGCTTAAAGAAATGGAATCCCTGTACATTGAGGAGCTGAAGTCATCCATCAACCTCCTCATGGCGAATCTGGAGTCCCTCCCCGTGTCGAAGGGAGGGGCCGACTCCAAATACGGACTCCACAAAATCAAGCGGTATAACCACAGGTCAGTACCATCGTGAACCATCACTCAGAAGCTAATCGATATTCATTTGTTACTCGTGGTTCTTTACTAAATTCTCTTTCTGATTTTTGATGTTAAATTTGTACTATGTTTTATACAAAGCAAGTGTGTGGTGTATGTCAATGATTTTAAAGTCGAAATCACGAAAATATCGTATAAAATTTATTTATGTGGAAGACGAAATCAATAATCGGAAAGAGAATATATTATATTGTATGTAATATCTGTGGATTGGTGTTGTTAATTTTGAAAGTTAAACTTTGCTTTTTAAGCTGTAAAAACTGAGACTTAAGAACTCATATCTCAAAGTGGGTGGAGGCATTTACGTTAGAGATGTCTATGGGCTCCGGTAACCACTTAACACCAAGTGGGTCTAGTGCCGTAAGCAATAATTAAAAAAGTTTTACGCTTACAACTTGTTAACTGAGACTAATAAGACTTAACTCTATAGTTTTACGTAATACGGTACTCATAATTAAAGACTTGAGTGGATGAAGGGGATATGATACAATTTGTTAATTAGGAGAAAACGTGCAACAACCTTACTTGTACTTTTTCTTCCTACATAACACCATCAACACATGCAATTTCTAAAAATAGACTTTAAACTTGGAGTTTTAAGGTCTAATATGGCCTATAGGCACATAACACCTTCGTTCGATGTAAAAATTCAAAAATCTTAAAAATGGTACTTAAAACACCTTCATCCGCTCATGTCTTCAATTACTGTTTTATCTTTACTATTCAGCATTTAAACTGATCTAGAATGTCTTTTTTTTAAATAACACTAATTCTTCTGTCAGTACTAAGTAATTGGAGAACGTCTTAACAAAATTAACAACGCTAAAATCATAATTTATCGGATCGATGTTGTGTATGTGTTGTTGTTTAAAAACTATGAATGATCGGTTCATGTTGTCAATATGGGTGTTTATTTGCAATATGCCTAACGGCTATTTTGTTACCTGCAATATAAAATAGAATTATTTGGGTTTTCTTACAAAATACTAAATAATTTACTAAAAATGTGTTTACGATTTGCACAACGAATATTATACTACCAACAGTGCTTAATATAAAATATATTAGGACTGTAATCGTGACTAGATCATTCAATAGTTTCTCCAGTGCGCATCAAATAAATCAATGATTGTATATTATCTTTCATTATTTAAATCATTACGGTCAATGTTGTTTTGTATTTAAACGTTATGGTAACAAAGTCGGATATTCTAATCACGATAAAGGGACTTAATGCTTTATTATCATAACTATAGTGGACCAAATGTGAAATAAAGTAGATCGATCAACAAATTAAATTTTCGGAAACTAGGGGTGTCAGTAGATTCACCGACATTGAATTGGTAATCCTAAAATAATATTAATAATTGTCGGTGTCGTGGGATAGGAACGAAGTTCCTTATTATAAAAATGTTAATTTTAAGTTATATTCGAGGTATAAAGAAAATAATTATTCGGGTACACATTTTTTATTGTTTTTTAATTGAAAAAAAAAACTATTTTACAAAACTATTTTACATTTTACAATCTATCATCTTTATTTTATTCACACTTATAAAATAAAAAAATATGTTATTTTTTGTACGTTATTCCAAAGTTAAGTCATACACTGTGTGCATTACTAATAAAAATCTTACGTTACGGACGTTTTTTCCCGGTTAGAGTACCGCATCGTCCCAAAAGGAACTTCGTTACAAAAAAAAAAGTTTTTAAAAACATTTCAATTTAAACATATTAGTGAGATTATAAAATAATAATATGCCCGAATACAAGAAAAGAAAAAAAAACTAAAACATAGCAGTTGCACGCAGATTAATTTAAAACTAGGCACGCAATGATTTCATGAAAACTTATTAATCTAGCCTTCTTTTCAAATTTGGTCCTTAAAAATATGATAATTTAAATCTACAATGCTTTGTGTTTACATGGTGACGATTAAAACAGGTATATTATAAGTAATATATACTCATCACGTAAATAAGAAGTGTCCAATTGTTGAAACGCGTGAATTTGAAAAACATTTACTATAATAATGTAACGCTGCTAAAGGTTGGAACAAACTTAATATTATTCGTAAAATGTTTTTCAAATATGTTTACAGTATTTTCATATATTATCTAAAGTGAATGAACAATCATTTCATTAAAATCTCATTGATACAACAGAACGCATTTTCTCGAAAACAAATCGTGTAATGTTTGAACAAAAATGCACTTTTCTATATTACCCTGACTAAAACACGTACTCAGTACTACTTGTTGATTTTTCATTTTGTTTTCTTCTTTTTTTCGGTTCAATAACCCTGGCACTGGACGGTATATGTGAAGGAAGTACAAGTAATAAATAAATAAATGATAATTATAAGCACGTGTCTTGAGTAGACCCACAAGAGAACGCCTGAAACAAACGACTAACCCAATCCCCTAGAGATTTATGAATAATATAACACTAAAGTAGCCTAGAAAGATAACAGTAAATCTAGCGCTTCAAGCTAATATAAACAAAAAGCTAAAATTAAAAAACTAAATAGCTTCAGAAACACTGCTAAGAAAAGCTTATGAAGTAGTACTTACCGGAATAATTAAGCTTATGAATTTAGCTTCTATTAACTGTACCCAAGCTTCTGTGTTAGGTAGCCCTGCTAATACCTTCAATATTAAACCAGCCTTATATTAATTTCACTGCTAAATTTAATTTTATTTTAGTTTAAACCATCACTATTCATTCAGATCATTGACTTCGATATTATCATACCGACGCTTGAAGCTTCAATGTGGGCTTAGCTTTTAATGTTGTAAATTGGATTCCACTTAAATGCCATACAAATTAGTGAAATTAATAAGAAGTTTTGAATAATAAAAAGCTTTGCTGATATTGTTTAGATTCCTGCTAGATATTAAATATTAAAAAATTTTGAATGACTAGAAATGTTATAAGCACATGATTAATGTTTTTGAATAAAATTCTATAGCCAAGACTACTTGATAATATTCCAAATTATGCACACTCATTGAAATCGGTAATAAAAAATATAATAGCGTTTTCTTAATTTAACATGCCATTAACAATCATTAAAAATTCCACAATATACCTTTCTAGTCGTTCATTTGAAACAATTCAGTCATCCTCATCCAAACTAACAATAGCCTGAAAATTTATGTAGTGATCTTATTGTAATACCCCTTTTTGAATGCTTAATCATTCTTGGTATCGGTGATGGCATCTTTTGGCACTTTGCGTTCCAATCCCTGTGATCGTTGGTCCCGTGTTCATAACCTTAAATGTATATGTACTGACCTATAACATTGTCATTAATTCCACTTGAATCATTTAATGATTCCAATCATTTTCGATTGCTACGTGTCTGTGGATATATGTCAATTGTCTGAATATCTTATCGACTGTCTTGTGTTTTTTGAATTTGAATTTTACCGTAAACTTTTTAAATTTTTATTCTATTTGCTGGTTTTTTTTCTTCTTTCAAAATTTAACTGTTTTTAACCAATGACTATCAAAACGTTAAATTTTGTATAAAACATTCGTAATTCGCAACGAATCGAATTGAACATGAGCGAACAAAATTGGCTTTCGCTCTGGGACCAACCAAACATTTGATGGTCATTTCTCTGTATGGTGCTTCAAACGATCTGTACAGCAGATCAAATGCCGGACCGGATCCGAGTCCAAGGTTGAGTAAGCAGCTATGTTTCAGATCCCAAGGCTCTTTAGCCAACAAACTGACGGGAGAAACGGACGGCGAAGTTGACACGCAGCTCACCAAAATGGACGTTGTGCTAACATTCCAAATCGAGGTAATAAAAATAAGCTATTGGAATTAGGACCTGCTGAGCCGACACGGGTTTGTATGGCCACGCCGCCTGTTGGCATTGAAAAAGCAATCATATTTTTTTCGGTTTGAATTCTAGCATACATTCGTTGTTCAAATGTGGGACTGCGAACTATTTCAGTAGTATTATTTTTAGCAAAAGCAAAGTTATTGGCTTTATTATAGCATACTTATGGTTTGCTGGCCGACCCTTGATTCGTCGTTGATCCGACCACTGCCAAATTTCACAGTGGATTCCCTAAAATATCCTCGAAATTGGGTCACCCATTTCTTTAGGAAACAACGACTTTTATATACTTAAATTACAGATTATTGATCTAATGATTTTCATATCATCTGCAAATAATACAAGGGACAGTCAACTAACACCACATTTTCAGTCATAAGTTGGTTTTTATTGCAACTATACTTAAAGCTTACGATAATTTTAAAAGTGGATTGTATGAAATTTTTCAAATTTACAGGTAGTCGTCATGGAGGTTAAGGGTCTGAAGTCATTGGCACCAAATAGAATAGTTTACTGCACTATGGAAGTGGAGGGTGGTGATAAACTGCAGACTGATCAAGCTGAGGCGTCCAAGCCTATGTGAGTTTAAGAATATCATTAAAATTAATTATACTTCAGTATAGTAGATTGGGGGGAATAGAGATTAGAATTAGAATTAGAATAGGAACAAATCTGGGATAGCACAATACTTTTGTTAAATTGTTAGATTTGTTGTTGAACTGAAAATTATCGTTATTTAGTGTTTAAGAATATTAAATAGTTTAATTTAATCTCAAACTTTTGTAACTCATTAAAGATATTAAAAAGCTAATTACCTAAAGTTAGGTACCTACCTAACAACTAAATAGTGCCAGTCCTATCGAAAAACTCTATTGTCCCCATACGTAACCTGATTCACCCCAAAGCCAAGGTGAATCGGGTCAAGCTAGTTTTTTTAAGTTTTTGTGTATATTTTGTAATGAACTGTGTATAATAACGCATCGTATATCAAAATTTAAGCCTCCGGAACCATTTTAATCTCAATTTTTTGGTATAACCCTAAGAAAAACCATTGAAAATTTGTGTTGGATTTGGAAAGGGTCCCGATTCCCCCCAATCTACGGTATCGTGTTTAAGGCTAAGACATAAGTAGATAAGACATTTTAAGTTCCTTTTTTTCATTTATTAGGTTACATGGTACGAAACGGTATTAAAGTAATTTATGACAGAATTGTTCCCTTTTAAAAGATTAAAAAAAGTCCGCGACAGCATGTCTATTATGTTAAGGTTGGCTCTCTATAACGTTTTTTATGCTAACCAAATTTGTTCTAAAATAAAGCATTATTTGTGAAGGTGTTATTCTACGTTTTTTTTATTTTTATTTTACTTGTAGGCAGATGAGCATACGGCCCACCTGATGGTGAGTGGTTACCGTTGCCCATGGACTTACGTAAAAGAAGAGGCGGTTAAAATTTAGCGTTATGCCAAACCAACTATTCCACGCGGACGAAGTCGCGGGTAAAAGCTATACCAAATAAAAGGCACCTTTAATTACAAAAATAAATGTCGTGTAATAACCGAAATGCTTAAACCAAATAGCCTTTCACCCCTTATAATGCTTAAATTTTATAAATGTATTATTAATTTTTTGAGGTGCCTTTTGGACTTAATATACTGTTTTATTTACAGGTGGGACACGCAAGGTGATTTCAGTACGACGCAGCCTCTTCCAGCCGTGAAAGTGAAACTTTACACAGAGAACCCCGGAGTTTTGGCTTTGGAAGACAAAGAACTGGGGAAAGTGGTCTTAAGACCTACACCGTTGTCTAGTAAGGTGGGGACCGCTGCCATTTGTTATTTACTTCTTGCACTAGCGGGAAACTCTTAGAATAAAAAAAACGGCACGCGTGCAACTTGGTGCACATGAATGAAGTGAAACTTCTTTTTCAATGTGCAGTATTATGGTTTTATTCATTTTTCATCCTTAAATCAGGTTGCTCTTGTAATAGAGAATGCTGTGTATAAGGTCTTACTGGTGGTAGAACCTCTTGTGAGTCCGCGCGGGTAGGTACCACCGCCTTACCTATTTCTGCCGTGAAGCAGTAATGCGTTTCGGTCTGAAGGGTATGGCAGCCGTTGTAACTATACTGAGATCTTAGATTTCAAGGTGGGTAGCGCATTTACATTGTAGATGTCTATGGGCTCCAGTAACCACTTAACACCAGGTGGGCTGTGAGCTCGTCCACCCACCTAAGCAATAAAAAAAAGGTGCAATGTCTTCTATATTTACATTATTTATACAGTATTAGAATATTAACAAAAAGCAGAAAATGAAGCTAGATACTAGACGATACTAATTATAATGAGATACGTTATATTATATTATATTATTATAAGAAATGCTCTAAATACTCTACAGACAGAATTTTAATAAACAAAAAGAATAACAAGAAAAAGGGATGAATTCTCTTGAATACCGTCTTAAGCAATTGTTTACACGCGTTGGACTTATAATAGTTAACCAACAATATCAACATTAAGGAAACAGTTATTAACTAATCTTAGTTAACTAAATAGCAGTGTTGTACCAATATATTATAATTTGTGCAGATTAATTGCGCTTGTATCTATCTATTCCAGTATGAGGCAACACTATTGTTTAACAATAACCCTGGAACTTTTTGGCGGGAACGCGAGGAGTGAAGTTGTGTGATTTGTTTTATTTTGTCTATTTAGTGTTTCTTCAGGTTTAAATGTGTAATAATGGTGGTTTATTAACTGTTTAATATCTTTAAAAGTGCACAAATGTGGGAAAATGAAACAAAGCTGCTGGACGTAACTTCTCGGGTTCCTCCAAAAAGTCCACTGAAAAAATCTCAGTAAATGACCACCATTTTACTGCGATTATATTTCATCCCATATCATCTCATTTCATTAAATTTCATCCCAGTTGATTAATGTCTCAAATTAATCATCTTCATTTCATTTCACTCNATCTACCACCGGATCGGAAACGCGACCCACTGAGAAGATCCGGCGAGAAACTCAGTGGGCTGTGTCTGAGAGTTAATTTACTCGTCGAGCCCTTCGTCGCAAGCGACGGGTTCGACGAGAACGGTGACCGGTGCTTGAAGTACCTAAAAGCACCGTTAGTGGATCGGGAGGATCCGAGATGACGTGTTTTGGGCGACGTCGACTGTTTACCATTCTGTCCGCAGGATCGGGAATGTAGTTACCGGCGGCCACGATGAGAGGGTTCTCGTGTCGTGCCGCTTTATCGAAGTGCCTCGATAGCGTAAAAGTTAGCTCATATTTGTATGAAATGGGATCGTTTGCGCACGTTTGCCGCTAGGGGCGCTGTTCCAACTGCATACAAAATTAGGTTAACTTTGACGCTATCGAGAACGTTAAGAAACTCGCACCAGTAAGCACACTGATATTAAATTGTCATACATTACGTGCTTTACAAATACCATTTTTGGTAGCGATTTTTCTGTGTTATGGCATCAGTAATTAATTACCATTACAACAAAATTATAATTTTTGCAACGATTTTCTTACACCTAGTAGAATTGTTTCTCGAAATTAATGGCATAAGATCAGATGTGCATTATTACAACTTTTCTAATCGTAATCGACATTGATGTACCTATTCAAAATACCCACACGTGCATTTTTACAATAGCTTCAAATAATTACAAAAATAATCTTGATGTCGAGATGCCAAAACAAGCCATGTTATAATTCACATAAAAGCATTTTTCGCAAAAAGCACATACGGCCTTTTGCAATTAATTTATTCTGAGATTTGTACATATAATTGAAAAGTGTTTGCATGCACACGTATTACGTAACGTAGGTCTATTTACATTGGACTTCTTTGGTAATAGTGAAATCAGCACTTAGTTTCATTTTGTAAGCCTAACCGTTCATGAGTGCTTTAAATTATCAACTTAGCGCATTTAACTGCTCATATTAATGCGATGAAACTTTAGGTGTCTCCTTAAGTACCATCGCTTCACTTAAGGAAACTTGACCAGCTCGAGGAGAAATCTCTTTGAATTTGGATTTTTCGTAATACTAACATAACCTCAGTTTTATGTTTTGTGGTGTTGCCTCAAATTAACGAAGGCTTTCAATATGTAAATTTCGTTAAGGGGAAGCATTAACTACACCCATTGATGAAACGGCGTGTGATTATGTAATTGTGTCCAGGAATACCTGGGGACGACGACTCCAAGAGGCCATCCCGGGCCCAGCAGCAGAGCTTAAACGCGGAGTGCATCCTCAGTAAAGAGCAGCTTTACGATATGTTCCAGCAGATCTTGGGCGTTAAGAAATTTGAACACCAGCTGCTGTTTAATGCCTTATTGGTAAGAGCTAAGACTTAAATTAAGAAATGTTTCGTTCCTAGGTAAATCAGTATATACGGTATCTTGGATGGTATCTTGAGTCACACCAATCGCATCCAAATCAGGAAAGGATACGGAACATGCCCTGTAAGGTATCTGAGGTCCCCGATCGATGTATAAGATCCAACGTTTTTTTTATTGCTTAAATTGGTGGACGAGCTCACAGCCCACCTGGTGTTAAATGGTAACTGGAACCCATAGACATCTAAAACGTAAATGCGCCACCCACCTTGAGATATAATTTCTTAGATCTCAGTAAAGTTACAACGTCTGCCCCACCCTTCAAACCGAAACGCATTACTGCTTTACGGCAGAATTTAATAATAAATTGTAATCACCAATATTAATGGATTTACTTTAATTTTCTGCACGCAGCTGGACTCAGCAGACGAACAAGCGGCTGCCATTAGAAGAGAATTAGACGGTAGAATGCAAAAAGTTAACGAAATGGAAAAGGTAAGAGAGTATGAAGAAATATAAACTTTATTCCTTCGGTTTAAAGTTTAGAATCGGTACAGAAATTTCGTGGCCACTGAAAATGTTTTTTTTTTTTTTTTTATTGCTTAGATGGGTGGACGAGCTCACAGCCCACCTGGTGTTAAGTGGTTACTGGAGCCCATAGACATCTACAACGTAAACGCGCCACCCACCTTGAGATATAAGTTCTAAGGATCTCAGTATAGTTGCAACGGCTGCCCCACCCTTCAAACCGAAACGCATTACTGCTTCACGGCAGAAATAGGCAGGGTGGTGGTACCTACCCGCGCGGACTCACAAGAGGTCCTACCACCAGTAATTACGCAAATTACAATTTTGCGGGTTTGATTTTTATTATATTATTTGAAACATCTTGCTATAGTGTTTTCTATAGATACTTAAGTTTGATGTTTTTATGGCTTCCATAGTCGGATTGGACTTGGCATAGTACCTTTGTTTGTAGTTCACTGCTAACTTTACTAGTGGTAAGGTGTGTTGAGTCCGGACGGGTAGGTACCACTACCCTACCTATATTTGCCGCGAAGCAGTAATGCGTTACGGTTTGAATGGCGTGGCAGCCGTTGTACTGTAATATTGAAAGTTAGAACTCTTGTCTCAAGGTGGGTGGCAGCATTTACGTTGCTCATGCCTATACTCAACACCACCAAGTATGCCGTGAGCTTGTCCATCCATCTAAGCAATGAGAAAGAAAATAAAAGAATTAACGGAGTGGCTACAGTTGTGGTACGAATGAAGTCTATTCTTTCGTTATAAGAGATGATTGGATCATCGCATGGTCCCTCATAGAATAGGTTCATACACAGACGGAGATAATATTCTCAAAAGATTTCTCCCTAAAATTCTTGGCTGCTGCAGATAGAATGTACTGTGGCAAACATTCTCGCGTTTCGGTTTGAAGAACAGCATAGCCGTTATCCCAAATGAAATTAAGACTTCTCTTAATACAAATAAAGCTTTATTTAAATCGTAATCTAACTCTATACAAAGTATAATAGAATATATGTACATATTTGCTATTGCCTTATAATCACTGCTGCTAATACTAAAATTTTTCCCGGTCATCGTTCTCGTCGGACCCGTCACTTGCGATTAAGGATTCGGCGAGTAAATTAACCCACAGACACAGCCCACTGAGTTTCTCGCCGGATCTTCTCAGTGGGTCGCGTTTCCGATCCAGTGGTAGATTCTGCGAAGCACTGCTCTTGCTAGGGTTAGTGTTAGCAACGTCGTCAAGTTTGAGCCCCGTGAGCTCACCTACTACTACTACGCTCTAAGGAATTATTCGAGATGATACCGGCATCTCGTTTTTACCATCGCACCGCTCGCCACCGGAGTAGAGTTCATCCATACTACCTGGAGCCACTGCGTTCATCCACAGTGCGTTTCCAGAGATCTTTTTTGCCACGTACCATCCGGCTATGGAATGAGCTCCCCTCCACGGTGTTTCTCGAGCGCTATGACATGTCCTTCTTCAAACGAGGCTTGTGGAGAGACTTTAAGATAGACGATAGATAGATCTTTAGCGGTAGGCAGCGACTTGGCTCTGCCCCTGGCATTGCTGAAGTCCATGGGTGACGGTAACCACTCACCATCAGGTGGGCCGTACGCTCGTCTGCCTACAAGGGCAATAAAGAAAATACTAGTTAAGACTCCGCTGAAATGGTCTCTCAAGACCATAAGCATAGGTAGAAAAAAAAAAACTTAATTTTTCGATGTGAATCCGATAGTCTTGTTGTAATGTCATCAGACGGACAGCTTAACATCAGAAAGGCCGCAATGACGCGTATCAATTCTCTTATTATAGAACCGAAAGCTGATGCCGAAGTTTGTGCTAAAAGAAATGGAATCTCTGTACATTGAGGAGCTGAAGTCATCCATCAACCTCCTCATGGCGAATCTGGAGTCCCTGCCCGTGTCGAAGGGA